AGTGGGACACCCCTGTCCCACTCCAGGCTTCCCCTGTCCCCTGAGGCTTTCCTGCTTTCTCCTCACCACTGAAGCTTTTCCCCTTCCCCCTACTTACATGTGGCTATCTGTGCTGTCTCTCCCCAGAAAGACATGCAGGGAAGGTTTAACCTGCCTGCCCAACCCCTGCTGCCACCACTGCGAGGCTACTGCTGCTCTCCAGGCTGAACCCAGCCCAGACAGCAGCAGTGGAGGCCAGGCAGGCAGAGAAGGCAAGCAAGTTAACCCTTCCCTGCCTTCTCCCCCCAGATGGACAGTGTCGGCAGTCATAAGTAAGTGGGGGGGGGAGAGAGGGGCAGGGGAGCAGTAAGTAGGGATCTATGGTGCTGGAGACGGCAGGGAGTTGGCAGTGGCCCTAATCTGGGGCAGAGGGGACAGGTAGCGAGTTTACACTAATGTGTAGCCTGGAGTGGCTACATGTAAGTGAACATGAGCAAGGTAACCTGGATCAAAGAGAAACCTGGGTTAAAGTGGCATAACTTTTAAGCCACCTAAAGTGTGCTTAAAACTATTTTCAGGTGTTAATGTGCAGACAGTTAATGAGTTAAGAGCTCAGGAGCTGTCTAAAATTAACATGTAATAAGGCCCTAAGGTGAAAGTGAACATGTTTTCAGTTTTGCAAGATGCACTTTTCCAAAGAAGTTAAAGAAAAAAAGTTAAAGGAATAACAGTGCCACGATTGTATTCTTTGGCATTTAAAGTATGATATTTCAGCTGAAGGTTAGCTCTGGTATCCTGTTCAATGCTAGTTAATATTTATTTAAATATAAGGAAGTAGCACATACAGTCTAGAATAGCTGTATAATGTATCCCAATAGTAAACTGATTCATTCCTAGTGTTTTGGCACTGTCAACATGCCTTCTCTTACCCCCTTCCCCTCCCTCCACCCTTCTCCTGGATTTTATGTGATATATCTCCATTATTGTAATAGAGATGGAGTGCTGCTGTAGCTGTGATGTCCAGTAAAAGATATTATAAAAAAACTCTACACTTTTTATATCTATGTCCTTTGTCAGCCATTTTTATAAAGGCAATCACAACAGAGATTGCTCAAGTCAAAGCTCCACTAAAAGCAAAAAAAAAAATCATCCAGTGCTGGTGCTCTGTCCAGTTAAGTACAAAACTAGAGTTGTACAGTGTGTCCCTTATACAGTTCCTTTGAAACTGTTACCAGAGGTACCCTTTGTTTGGTTTTAAAAACTAGCCATACTACTGAATATGTAATGAACCAGTATAAATGCATTAATTTTACACAATACATGTCAAGAAAAAAAAATGTATAACAAAAGAGCCATACATTAAATGATAGCATAGGAATTGTTTTTTTTTCCAGTAAGTGATGTGGTCATTTATGAAGTCATGATCCACCTCCTATTTTAAGGTTACTAGATTATTTCATTTTAAAACAAGTCCATTTCTTGACCTGCACTGGCAGTTAAAAAAAGGTTGAGGAGACCTGAAAGGCTTAGAACTCAGAAAGCAAATTTTTAAAAGCCCAATATGTATTATTTTGGTTCAGTGTAACAATGCAGAAGTTAATCTTTATACAGATTAAAGAGTAGATATTTACCGCTAGGTTTTCTACTTTAGGATTCTTCTTTATATTCATTTTAATCCAATGAAATGTAATCAAGTATTTCCTTTTTTACTTCATGAACTATGTTTCACCTTTTTGCTCTTCAGCATATGGCTGACACTTTATTTTGTGCTTTATACTTAATTATCATTAATTCATTTTTATCTCTCCTTCAATTAATGCTTTTGAATAAATCACAAAATTCTCAAAATGAGACTATACCCAATTTTTTAAAAATTTTCATTAATTTACCTCTCCCCAGTATAAATTCCTCAATTTCTTAGGTGTCAGTCAGCAGTAGTTTCACTAAAATGTATACTTTCTTGGTTTCATATGTTCCTAGATATCATTCCTGTTTACTGATTTCATGAACATTTCGATATTATGCAGTTTTCAAACACAATTATTGCTTTCATGATTCAAGTTTCTTCTGTGAGTATCTGTGCCACTAAATTTCAAAATTGCTTATGAAAAAAGCATATCATTTAAAACGTATTCAATTGAATTCATTTTGAAATATCAAATGAATATGTGCAGAATGCTTTTCCTATTCTCCACTCAGCTCTGAGGCCACCATAAGACGCTTGTGCAGAGGTGTTGTTATATAAACTTACAATACCAAAGAATTCTTCCTGGAAGAGAGATTGTCTGGATTTAAGATCCATTAATTTGTGGGGTGCTTTGCACAAAAGAGCCAGAGTGTGGCCCAGGATTGAGGGCATGATCTTTTCTGCTAATTGACTCCTTCTAATAGAGACATATTTCATTGTCTGAGAGCATAGCCTGTCAGTAGCAGAATTGGATATTCATCTGTCCTTGCTGACCTGACCAGACTTTTTCAAAGGCTACTCTTTCACCTTTGGCTGATTTAGTACTTTTGTTTCACTTCTTTTTCTTTCTTCTTTTATACTGTATGCATAATGACTGGACTGTAGTGTTTTAGAGCTACATAAACAAACCATCTCCTCACATAGCCGTTCTTGAATACATATGGCTTGTCACTATGACTGGTAAGGAAAAAAAGACATAGCACATTCGTGTATCATATCCACAGTCAATTAAATCATGTTCAAATATTGTAGGCTTGAACTAAATCATTACTAATCTTGCCTTAAGCATGGAAAACTGCATTTGGTTCAATGCGGACCATATGTTATTTTTAGTATGCTGAGCAATAGTTCCCCTTTCACTCTCCTTTTTCCATCCATAGATTCTCAGCTTGCAATACTTTTGTCTTCTCTCCTCTTATGTTTTGTCTTCCTCTTGCATTTTCATGCTTGCTTTCAACCAAGATTGAGCAAGGAAAGCTATTGTTGTTATAGACTTTTTTTACCTATTTGATCACTAATCATTGCAGCTATTTAAAGTAACACTTTCCCTTAAGATATTTCTATTGCTGTTGACAACTTTTAACAATAAGAAAACTCTCAGCAGGACTGAACTGGTCATTTGTGTGAGAGAGAAGATGCAACACGAAAAGATTACACCATGTAAACGAGAATTAAATGGGTAACCAGCGAAAGCCAGTTTACTGATGATTGAAAGGAAATTTACACAAGCCCACCTCCGCAACCATTTGTGAATAAAACAGAACAGGTGGCTAAATATTTCAACTTGATTTACATATCAGGAGTTATCTTGCATCTATGAGCAAGAGCTGGTTCTCATGGCAGGATCCAGATAACTTATTGAATGATTAGAGAGCTTTAAAGATTACATTTTCAATGATAAAATTGCACTAACCTGTAACCTAGGGGAAAGAGGTGGATAAAAAAGGTGATACTTGTGCTAATGCAAATAAGTTATTTAACTAAAGTCATTGACATTAGAATTAGGGCTGGCTGAAAATTTTTCATAAATGTTAATTTCTGATGGAAAAAACTCAGTTTTCATACAATGACTTCACACAATAACAGCTGCCTTCTTTAGAAAATTTAGTTCTGAAATGCTGCTGTGGTTCATTACAGCAGTTGTAGTTTGAGCACCATATACTCTTCTCTCTGGGGTGTATTTGCCAAGTAACTTACACTTCTTGTGATATGCTATGGACATGGATAGAATCATAGAAAATGAGTGTTGGAAGGGACCTCTGGAGGTAATTTTAGTCCAACCCCCTGCACAAAGCAGCACCATCCCCAAATAGTTCATCCCAGCCAAAGCTTTGTCTAGCCGAATCTTGAAAACCTCCAAGGATGGAGATTCCACCACCTCTATGGATAACCTGTTCCAGTGTTTTACTACCCTCCTAGTGAGAGAATTCTTCCTAATATCTAACCTAAACGTCCCTTGCTGCAACTTGAAACCATTGCTCCTTGTTCTGTCATCTGCCACCACTGAGAACAGTCTAGCTCCATCATCTTTTGAACCCCCCTTCAGGTAGTCTACAGCTGCTATTAAATTCCCTTTGTCTTCTGTTTTCCAAACTAAATAAGCCCAGTTCCCCCAGCCCCTCCTTAAGTCACATGCCCTAGCCCCGATCTATTTTTATTGCCCTCTGCTTGACTCTCCAATTTGTCCACATCCTTCCTGTAGTGAGGGACCCAAAACTGAACACAGTACTACAGATGTGGCCTCACCAGTGCTGAATAGAGGGAATAATCACTTCCCTTGACCTAACAGCAATACTCCTACCAATGCAGCCCAGTATGACATTAGCCTTCTTGGCAACAAGGGCATGCTGTTGGCTTATATTCAGCTTATCTACTGTAAGCCCCAGGTCCTTTTATGCAGAGCTGCAGCCCAGCCAGTCAGCCCCCAGCCTGTACTGGTGTATGGGATTATTTCATTCTAAGTGCAGGACATTGTACTTGTCCTTGTTGAAACCTCATGAGATTTCTTTTGGCCCAATCTTTCAATTTGTCTGGGTCACTCTAAATCCCAGCCCTACCTTCCAGTGCATCTACTACTCCCCCAAGCTTGATGTCACCTGAAAACTTGCTGAGGGTGCACTCTATGCCACCTTCCAGGTTATTGATGAAGACTTTGAACAAAACTGACCCCAGGACCAACCCTCGGGAGACTCCACTTGATACCAGCTACCAACTAGACATCAAGCCATTGATCACTACCCTCTGAGACCAATGCTCCACAGGTTCATATATGGCGGGTCAGAAGAAACCTGAGCAGATCATCAAGTCCAACCCCCTGCCCCAGGCAGGAATGAATACTGGGCTCGTGGCCCCTGGTAAGCTTAAACTCATATGACCCCAGCTAGGTAATTATCAAGCCTCCTTTTAAAAACCCCTAGGGTAGGAGTCAGCACCACTTCCCTTTGAAGTTGGTTCCAGATCCTGGCCATCCTGACTATGAAGTAGTGCCTCCTGATGTCTAGCCTGAACCTAATCTCAATCAACTTGTGGCAGTTATTCCTTGTTACTCCAGGAGGTGCTTGGGGGAATAGGGTTTCACCCATTCCCCTTTGGTCCCCCCTTGGTAAGTTTATAGATTACCACTAGATCCCCTCTCAGCCTTCTCTTGTGAAGGCTGAACAGGTTCAGGTCCCTTAGCCTCTCCTAGTAGGGTCTGCCCTGCTGTCCCCTGGTCATGCGAGTGGCCCTCCTCTGGACCCTCTCGATGCTGGCTACATCCCTCCTGAAGTACAGCACCCAGAACTGGACGCAGTACTCCAACTGTGGCCTGACCAGTGTAGCATAGAGGAGGAGGATCACCTCCTTGGACCTGCTCGTGATGCATCTGTGGATACCTGACAAGGCGCGGTTAGCCTTACTGACTGTGTCCTTACATTGGCAGCCCATGTTCATTTTAGAATCGATAATGACTCCAAGATCTCTTTCCACCACTGTGCTTTCACGAAGGGAGTTCACCAGCCTATATGTATACTGCTGGTTCTTTTGCCCAAGTGCAGTACCCTGAACTTATCAGTACTGATTCCCATCCTATTCATATTCGCCTACCCCTGTAACCTGTCCAGGTCCAGTTGTATCCTGTCCCTCCCTTCTAGCATGCCCACCTCACCCCAAATCTTGGTGTCATCAGCAAATTTGAATGAG